TTTCGACATTAGCTCAAAATAACACCCCTACGGCCAAGGGCCATCGCCAAGGAGAAGAGTTCGACCTCGTTTGAATCATAACGGGTTAATATTTCGACATTAGCTCGAAATAACACCCCTACGGCCAAGGGCCATCGCCAAGGAGAAGAGTTCGACCTCGTTCGAATCATAACGGGTTAATATATTTCGACATTAGCATGAAATAACACCCCTACGGCCAAGGGCCATTGCCAAGGAGAAGAGTTCGACCTCGTTCGAATCATAACGGGTTAATATTTCGACATTAGCTCGAAGTAACAACCCTACGGACAAAGGCCATCGCCAAAAAGAAGAGTTCGACCTCGCTCGAATCATACAGGCTGACATCCCGGTCTTACTCTCAATAACGTCTTTGCAGCCATCGGTCGTCGTCAGACATTTTTTTTGGATTACTAAGATATTGATTTCGCTACAAGCCCCAAGTTCAACCTCGCTTGAATACATATGAAAAGAGCAACTTCGCCTAAATAACCAACAGTCCAATCCCCCTCGAATGACTCAAGTCGAGACTGACTTCGTCCAAAACAACGAATCCGAATACAACCTTGTTTGAGTCAAAGATGAATCTGCTTAAAGCGACAAGTCAAAAGTCAAATCCCACCCAAATATGCGAATCCAAAGAGACTCCATTCGGACTCGCGCGACGAAATCCTACTCGGTCCGGCTAAAACTGGCTTCCCTAAAAAGTCAGGAATTCACCATACAAAATCTAAAAGTCTACGCCAAAGTAAAAAAAATGTATAAAGCAAGGGGAAGGGAGAAAATACAAAGGACGTACAACGACGAAAATACCTTTTATTTAGACAGTTGCACAAATGGTCGCAGATTATACACGGCCAAAACCGGCCCAGTACAAAAAACAGAGAGAAAAGCAAAGAAAAAAAAACAGACTAAGGTAACAACTTTTCACTCGGCGTCATCACCGCCGTCCTCCCATCACCATCTCGAGGAAACACCTCCTCAGCGTCAACATCCTCGCTGGCCTCCGATGTCGCAGGATCGTAGCCACAGTTAACACGAGCCTCTCGTGCCTTCGCCCGAGCCCCTTCATAAATGGCTTCAGAAATATTGCCCGGCTCCTATAAACTCTTGTATATGTCCCGCTGGGCCTCGGCATGGACCCAGAGCTCGTGCAAATGACGAGGGACAGCGGCGGAGCCAAATTCGACTTGGGCCAACAAATGTGCCTTTTCGGCCTCAAGAGCGACGACCCGATCTCCCAAGTTTGAAGCTTCCCGGTCAATTTCACCAATACGCTCTTCAAGCCTCGCCTCCCTCAGCGTAGTCGTCGCCCTTTTGGACTCCTGCTCGGATTGAAGGACGGGAATAGTGTCCTCCAACGCCGCTGCCCTCGCTGAAGCCGACACCCAAGCATTCTCGGCACTCTCCAGTTCGCAGACCTTCCTCTCCAGCTCGGTTAATTTCCCCATCCACTCTGCACTCAAAGCCTCAACTCTGACGGCATTTTGATCCAACTTGGACTGCAACGACCGCACCTTCGCCTGAAGATGCTCACACTCTGCAGTGACCCCTTTTCCCAACTCAAGTTCTTCGTCCTTTACATGAAGTAGCTCCTCGAGCTCGCTATTCCCGAGAATAGACTGTATCAGCTCCTGATCCCTCTTCTCCAGTTCCTCCCTAAGAGATTGATTACCGGCGTTCGCCCTAAGCCGTTCGTGCATCTCAAAACACTTGTTGCGGTAGCGCCGATACTTTTCCAACATCATCAGGAAATTTTTGGCCCGAGTGTCGGCCCTGCGAGCACTTCCAATCTCCAGCATGTACGACTGAAAGCAAAAAAAAAAAAAAAGAAGAAGAAGAAGATGAGTCGGTAAAGTCAAGGTCGCCAAAAACAAAAGGAGCACAAAAAAATAAAAAGAACAAAGAGGAGAAACTTACCCTCAGGCCCATAGCGGCCACCTCATGCATCAAATCAACGTCACGGACGTCCCTAAGAGCCTCACACTCTGCAGCAGAGCACAAAAGGTCAAACTGCGGCACCAAGTCTTCCGTGTCCCGCAGAAGGTTAATCTCCGATGAAATCTCAAGTATACGGGACGGACCTCCCGCTCTTACCACCGTGCGGGTAAGGCCCTCCTCGAACATTCTAACATCATCAGGATCAAGATCAGATTAAATTCGTCGACTACGACACCCTTTCCGCTCTCTGTGGCTGAAGAAGAAGCACGACTCGGTCCAGCAGACGAAGGCCCGCCCAAGGTGGAAACAGCGGCCTCGGGACCTCGACTTCCCGTCACAGTAGCCTGTTGATCAATCACAGCAGCCGAAGCCTCTGCCGTCGTGTTGCTCTCGATCGCCAGGTTTACCTCCGCGGCCGGGTTAACATCACCACCCATTTCAGTCATCGTCAACGGAAGGTCGCCCTCCGAATATACTGCTACTGAAGAAGCCATCTCGGACTCCACTCGCCGCCTCTTCGACGGACCCTCCCCGTCCTCAGCACGGGAAGATTCACCCATTGAGCGGGCAGTGGGAGCCGGAGTCCCAGGTTGGGGAACAATTTCCATGCACACAACTCCGGTCGTAGGTTCAACTTGAGTAGCCCTCGATGTAGAACGGGCAGCAGACCTCGGTGCAGGTCGAGCAGAAGACGCCGGTCGACGAAATGCGAGCGGAGGAGCCCTCGTCCTTCGCACTCTCCCTATTAACAGTAATGGTCGTGTAAGCAACAAGGCCAAATTGCAAGGCAAAAAACAGAGAAGCTGCAGCAAGTCGACTTACCAGTAAAAGGCTTACGCCCGTATTTCTCGTAGAAGGACGCCCATTCGCGAACCCCCACCGTATGGGGAAGGATGGCATTCACCCATTCGCAGATATCGTCAACGGGCGTAGGAGGTAGTCTCTCGGCTGCAAAAGTAAAAACGATTTAATGCTGCCTAAAGAAAAACGGTCGACCACCACCCCGACAGGAGATTAAAAAAAAAAACTTACGTGCGAAGTTCCACCTCTCAGGGAACCCTGCCGAGTCTGTCACAAGGTGCTCGGTCCGTACATAAAAGTAGCTCTCCCAGAAATGACGATTGGCTCTGTCGTCCATCTTCACCACCAGACTCTTCGTTCCTCGATGGCGCATGTGGATCATCGTGCCTCGAATAAGTTGAGGGGCAAAAATATGGAGCATATGCCCCAGAGTGATCTCCGGTCGGCAAGCTCCGCAAACTTGAGCAGCATGAGGAACAACTTGTATACGTATGGCGAAAGTTAAGCCGGGCATACTTCGTAGAAACGGCAGAAGTCTACCACCAAGGAAGGGAGAGGAAGCGTATACCCGACAATAAAAGGGTAGGCATAGAACGCACAATATCCGGGGCAGTCAAAATGTACAATATCATCTCCCACCACCGGCAACATCTCAACATGGTGCAGAATCCCCCATTTGGTCTTAAGCTCCGCAATCGCCGCTTCATCCATAATAGAGGAAACAAGCTCCGGTTCCTCTCCGACAGGGCTGTTTAAATCACTCCATAACTTCACCGGACGGGGCAATATTTTGGCCGCTGTTGGAACCCCCTCATCCTCCGCCATCTCCACTCATCCGGGAGCAAGAGCATCATTTTTCGGCACCGGAACTTCGGCAAGTCTGTCAGCGCGGGAGGAAGTACCAGCCATTTGTATCAATTGAGCAGAGTGAATGAGCAGGGGAAAGTAAGAGGGAAGACGGTGACGTCAATTTCCAACTAACAAGAGAGTGAACTAAAAATCTGAAGTATCGGAGAAAGTAAAGACTCGCAAAATTCCTTTGATAGATCGAAAAGTATGGCAATAGAATGGTGTTTTCCCCCCTATTTATAGGAACATAAATGCCCCGAGCGGGAAACCCAAGAGTCGCCAATCAAAACTGATAGGGCACAAGAAACGGTTCAATCCATAAGGAACGTGTGTCATAATGACAGTGATTACAAACGATGTTTCGAATCAACACAACGGTTCAACTCCGAACGGATGTGATGGCCCAAGGGTATCATTGAAGCTTCACGCCTTCGCCTCGATCTGAAAACCCCGCTCAAGGCGTAAACACTCAGATTTTTCCTAACTTTCAAATCGACAAAGTCCGCCCGTCGAACCCGCTAAGAGACGACTTCGACGGATGGAGGGACTAACTGTATGGGTCAAAATCTGACCGTAGTGGTCGCCCCCAATAGGAAAGATAGGGGGCCGGCCAAGCTGGGATCCCGCCCAGGTGGCGAAATAGCAAAGAACACCTCGGCCATCCTCGGGGTCAAATCATCGAAAGCATGTTGGTCAAAGACCATTGAATAGAAGTCCTAAGAACTATATATATATATATATATATATATATATATATATATATATATATATATATATATATATATATATATATATATATATATATATATATATATATAGCAGGTAAGCTCAGAAGGGAGGGGGAACTTTCAGGGGAGAAAGGGACAACAAACAAGGGAGAAAAAGGGGAGAAGAAGAAGAGAAAAGAAGAAGAGAAAAGAAGAGTCTCTCTCGGATGAACAGTTGTCTCACTTTTTCCTCTTTACCCCTTCATTTGCAATTCTTTTTCGCCTCAGATGTAAGCTCATCTCTCGTGTTTGATGCAAAATTATCACATCAATAAATCTAATATATTCCTACCTTTCGTTATTTCTCGTTATATGAGTTTGAATCTGAAGTTAATTATGCTTGGCTAAGATTTACCTTCTTTATTATTGATAATTGTAGTTGGCAAAAGAGACTTAAACTTTTTTGTTCAAACAGAAGATTGAGGTCTAATATATTACTTTGCATCTAAATCATAAATTGTATATTAACTTGTAATTAAATTGAGGTAAATAAATATGAAAAGTAGTATAGATAAGTAATAAGTAAAAATATCTAGATTTTATAAGCTCATTCCCGTATAACGACGAACAATTTAGAATGGGCTGGTCGGGGCTCTTATGACCCGACCTGTTCGAGTCACACTATCCAAATTTCACATCCTCATCAGTAGACAGTACTTCACAGCTCAAAAGTCTTCTCCTTGCAATCTTCAATTGGAAGAGATAAAAAGCATCAAAATTCGAAAAAAGAAAAATAATGGCCACCTACTTACGGTTGCCCATGGCGTCCTCAGTTCCATGTACTTCATCACCATCGTCTCCGCTAAAACGGCGTAGTTTTAGCGTTCTCTGTGCAGCCAATAGCAATAGCAGTACAAAAATTCCGATGCCTCCTCTTAACCCTAAGGACCCATTTCTAAATAAGCTTGCCTCTGTTGCTGCAAATAATCCAGAAGCACTCTTCACTCGACCTCAAAATTCGGATATGCCGCCTTTTTTGGATATTTACGACTCCCCTAAGCTCATGGCTACTCCTGCTCAGGTATATAATGTTATGTAAATCAGTTAATCAGGTTTCTTTAAGCCTTTATAGTTGAGCTTGTATTATTTTCTGATTGGTGTTGTTTTGTCTGTGTGTGTTTTGCTATTTGAATTAGGTGGAGAGATCAGTATCATACAATGAGCACAGACCGAGGAGACCTCCACCAGACTTACCCTCACTTTTGCTCCATGGTAGAATAGTTTACATTGGCATGCCGGTATGTCATAAGATCTTTTACCAGTTACTTTGTGCTTATTAGTGTCTTCTGCAACATTTTGGCATAATTAGGTACTTGAAAATAAAGGCTAACATCAGCGAAATGGTTAGCGAAGATTCATATGGCCGACCCCAACTTGCTTGGATTTGACAAGCAGTTGTTGTTGTGTTTGTTTTGTTGAAGAGAAACATATTCCTGCATTCTTGTAGCTATTCTCATGAAGACTAATGAAATGGTCACTGGACCTTTGTACTTATACTAAAAAAATTAAATTTATCAAAAGTTAATTTCATCTCACCTTGAGGATAATACCAAGGTCCCCCGTCTATACATGCACTATATTTGTCACAATTATCATCATAGGTTCATTGTTATAAGTTCTGGTGACAAGGATGATCATGATTATTGGGTTTCCATCAGACACTGTGGTAAAAGAAAAAATGAACCATGTAAAAAATCATTTATTGCTATTTGCTCGAGGCAACATGCCAAAGTATGTTTTGATCATATCATGTCAATGTATGTGTCTTTGCTAGTGGTACTTGGCTTGGAGGTAAAAGTGACCAGCTTTATTTGGTATGCCTAATTGTTTGTAGTAGGCTGACTACCTAAGGTCTATGTGCCTCTGATAGCAGGTAAACTTTCTAAAATGGAGAAGTCGAAAGTTGTTCTTCAGTTTTGTCAGGGCTTCATATTTAATTTATTCAATTAAGAGCTGAACACTCTGATACCTACTTGTTTTGATTATTTGGAGTTTCCATCTGATGTACTACTTCTAGTTTTGCCAAAGTTTGGGCTTGCTGGGATATGTTTTGTGGTGCTTTGGCAATAGAATTTGCAAACAGAAATATATTGACGTTCACGTTCCTTAATATTTAGTCTGGTTTGCAGCAACTTGTCTTTGCAATTTATTATTGCAGTCCGATAGACGTTCACTTTATTCTTTTAATCTTGCACTAGCACAAATTAATCATGGTTTCTTTCCAGTTGGTGCCAGCAGTCACAGAGTTAGTTGTTGCAGAGTTGATGTACCTACAGTGGATGGATCCTAAAGAGCCAATTTATCTATACATAAACTCTACTGGGACTACCCGTGATGACGGTGAAACAGTGCGTTTCCTTTTTCGGCTGGACTCCGCTCGTCCTACTCGGCTCTTGTTTTCATTGGGGTAGCGTCGCTAAACAAAGCA